TTATCATTACATAAAAATTGCACCGTAGAATCTAGTTAACAACAAAAAAAGAATGAATAAACCTTGTGATTGCTGATTGGTGACGCCGGAACGGAGATGGTGATTGCCGATTAGGTCTGGTGATTGCCGATTGATGAGGACCAAGAGATGGTGATTGTCGGGAGATAGGCGTCGGTTTGGGAAGGCCGGGACCGGGAGATGGTGATTGTCGATTGGTGATTGACCGGAGATGGTGATTGCCGATTTCGGCACTGGATTTGCCGACTTGGGAGACGGGGTTGGGACTTCGAGATTGGGTCAGACAACAAATTTGGGAACTGGGTTTTTTTCTAAAAGATTTAGGCTGGGCTATGTTTGTCCACCTTCAATATGGCACACATACCAAGGTGATGAGTAAAGTGACACAAATACCCCTAGACTAGCCAACACTCCTCAACCGCCCTAGCTCTCAATCCTTCCTCATCCCCGCATCAACTGTGTATCCATCGTTGTGCCCCACCGCAATCGAGAATGTATTACTCATATATATTTCTTTAAAAGGTATACCCCTTATCTTCATATTTTTGAAGTTTGCGTCGTATCTCTAATTATGGGTTATTTTTATGTTTCATATCATTTATCATTACATAAAAATTGCACCGTAGAATCTAGTTAACAACAAAAAAAGAATGAATAAACCTTGTGATTGCTGATTGGTGACGCCGGAACGGAGATGGTGATTGCCGCCGATTAGGTCTGGTGATTGCCGGTTGGTGAGGACCAAGAGATGGTGATTGCCGGGAGATAGGCGTCGGTTCGGGAAGGCCGGGACCGGGAGATTGTGATTGTCGATTTCGGCACTGGGATTTGCCGACTTGGGAGACGGGGTTGGGACTTGGAGATTGGGTCACACAGCAAATTTGGGAACTGGGGTTTTCTTCTAAAAGATTTGGTCTGGGCTATGTTTGTCCACTTTCAATATGGCACACATACAAAGGTGATGAGTAAAATGACACAAATACCCTTAGACTAGCCAAAACTCCTCAACCGCCCCAGCCTCTCAATCCTTCCTCATCCCCGCATCAACTGTTTATCCATCGTTGTGCCCCACCGCATCGAGAATGTATTACTCACATTTCTTTAAAGAGTATACTCGTATCTACATATTTTTGAAGTTTGGATCGTATCTCTAATTATGGGTTATTTTTATGTTTCATACATTTATCGTTACATAAAAATTGCACCGTAGAATCTAGTTAGCAACAAAAAAAGAATGAATAAACATGGTGATTGCTGATTGGTGATTGCTGAGAGATAGGCGTCGGTTTGGGAAGGCCGGGACCGGGTGATGGTGATTGTCGATCAATGTTTGAAATTGCGTATTGCGGTTTCGAGGCGTTTTCTTTTCATGGCGTATTGCGTAAGCCTTGAGGCGTATTGAGGCGTAAGCCTCAATTTTTAAATTGAAAAATATCCACAAAACAATTTAAAATTAAAGATAGAACATAATATATACGGAGTAACATAAATAATCCAAAAACATTAAAAAAAGTATATTGTCAAAGTAATACATCGCAAACACAGCAAAGTCTAACATGGAAGAAGACATAATATTGCTCAAAGTGATGAGCTTAAATTGAAGAATTGACAAAAAGTTCACCAGTGTCTAACAGCTTGAAATCAGGATCAAAAGATTCGGACAACAATTATCAAAAATAGAATAAAAAAGAGATTAACAGCTAAAGAAATGCATCACTATCCAGTTACTTGACAAAAAAACACCAATTATAAACTCCAACCGTAAAAAGGAAAATTGAATGCTCGTGTACTTCATAAAATGATAACAAAAAAACTAATTAAAAAAAATTTATCAAGATAATAAGTTAATAGTAGATCATAAATCCACCGGCTATCATCCATCCATTCTTATACCATTTGCCGGAAAGAAAAAAAATCGTACCTGCTCTAGACAAAGAAAACAAAGACGCACAAAAGATGAATTGCACCTGCTATTGTGATGGAGATGAATCGCAACTTGGAAATCTCAGCAATTAGGGTTGCAATTAAGTTCATCGACAAGGTAATTTTAAAATATATACACTTAATTGGGATAATTGACAACTTTAACCTTTGATTTCCTAAATTTTACATGCTAAATTGCGTATGCCTCATTGCGCGCCCCAGTGCGTACGCCCCATGGCGTAAGCCTTTAAGCAAATTGCGTAAAATGGCTAATTGCGTGAATCGGGATTCGCACCAGGGCGTTATTTTCTGGAAAAAGTTTCATTGCCCGCCTTGAGGCGGGTTTGGGTTCCGCCTTTTCAAACATTGTTGTCGATTGGTGATTGACCGGAGATGGTGATTGCCGATTTCGGCACTGGGATTTGCCGACTTGGGAGACGGGGTTGGGACTTAGAGATTGGGTAAGACAACAAATTTGGGAACAGGGTTTTTTTCTAAAAGATTTGGTCTGGGCTATGTTTGTCCACTTTCAATATGGCACACATACCAAGGCGATGAGTAAAATGACACAAATACCCCTAGACTAGCCAACACTCCTCAACCGCCCCAGCTCTCAATCCTTCCTCATCCCCGCATCAACTCTGTATCCATCGTTGTGCCCCACCGCAATCGAGAATGTATTACTCATATATATTTCTTTAAAGGGTATAACCCTTATCTTCATATTTTTGAAGTTTGCGTCGTATCTCTAATTAAGGTTATTTTTATGTTTCATATCATTTATCGTTAGATAAAAATTGCACCGTAGAATCTAGTTAGCAACAAAAAAAATGAATAAACCTAGTGATTGCTGATTGGTGACGCCGGAACGGAGATGGTGATTGCCGATTAGGTCTGGTGATTGCTGATTGGTGAGGACCAAGAGATGGTGATTGCCGGGAGATAGGCGTCGGTTTGGGAAGGCCGGGACCGGGAGATGGTGATTGTCGATTGGTGATTGACCGGAGATGGTGATTGCCGATTTCGGCACTGGGATTTACCGACTTGGGAGACGGGGTTGGGACTTGGAGATTGGGTCAGACAGCAAAAATGGGAACTGGGTTTTTTCCTAAAAGATTTGGTCTGGGCTATGCTTGTCCACTTTCAATATGGCACACATACCAAGGTGATGAGTAAAATGACACAAATACCCCTAGACTAGCCAACACTCCTCAACCGCCCCAGCCTCTCAATCCTTCCTCATCCCCGCATCAACTGTGTATCCATCGTTGTGCCACACCGCAATCTAGAATGTATTAATCATATATATTTCTTTAAAGGGTATACCCCTTATCTTCATATTTTTGAAGTTTGCGTCGTATCTCTAATTATGGGTTATTTTTATGTTTCATATCATTTATCGTTACATAAAAATTGCACCGTAGAATCTAGTTAGCAACAAAAAAGAATGAATAAACCTGGTGATTGCTGATTGGTGATGCCGGAACGGAGATGGTGATTGCCGATTAGGTCTGATGATTGCCGATTGGTGAGGACCAAGAGATGGTGATTGCCGGTAGATAGGCGTCGGTTTGGGAAGGCCGGGACCGGGAGATGGTGATTGTCGATTGGTGATTGACCAGAGATGGTGATTGCCGATTTCGGCACTGGGATTTGCCGACTTGGGAGACGGGGTTGGGACTTGGAGATTGGGTCAGATAGCAAATTTGGGAACTGGGTTTTTTTCTAAAAGATTTGGGCTGGGCTATGTTTGTCCACTTTCAATATGGCACACATACCAAGGTGATGAGTAAAGTGACACAAATACCCCTAGACTAGCCAACACTCCTCAACCGCCCCAACTCTCAATCCTTCCTCATCCCCGCATCAACTGTGTATCCATCGTTGTGCCCCACCGCAATCGAGAATGTATTCACTACGCCAAAAACAGTATCAGACGACTGTTGATTAACTAATGTTTATGGAAACACAGTAGTTAAAAAAACACAGACTACTGTGATTTTTTTCTTGGCTACAGAACAGTAGTCTAGCTACTATGATTTAAAACTATTTTTAAAGTTTCGAGAAACGGTAATCTATCACTAGTTGTCTGTGTCAGTTCAAAATATAGTTTTTGTTACAATAGTTGTCAATAACAAGTTAAGAATACTCTATTTAAACAGTAGTATGGTGTTTTAGTCTAGAACTGTTTTTAAACTTATTTGAAACAGTTATCTATTGCTAGTTGTCTGTTTCATATGGTTTTTTTGCCACCGTTGTTTCTAATGGGAATAGAAGACTCTTTTGTAAGAGTAGTATATGAGTTAAGGGTAAAACAGTTTTTATAGTTGTGAGAAACAGTAATCTTTTATTAGTAGTCTGTTTCACCTAAAAATACAGTTTTTGTTGCCACAGTTGTCAATAATTAGTTAAGACTACTATTTCTAAGCAGTAGTCTGGTTTTTTAGTTTATAACTGTTTTTAAACTTATAAGAAATAGTATTTTATTGTTAGTTGTATGTTTCATATGGTTTTGTTTTGCATAGTTGTTTATTACAAGAATAGATGACTCACTTGTAACAGTAATATATTTATATAGCGTAGAACTATTTTTTAAATTCATAGAAACCGTAATATATTACAAGTTCTTAATAATAAATCAAGAATACCTTTTTTAAATAGTAGTTAGACTATTAATTCTAGAACTATTTTCAAAGTTTTGAGAAAGTGTAATGTATTACTAGTAGTGTGTGTCAAACCGTTTTTTTTCATGGTTATATAAAATAAATAAAGAAAACTGTTTTTAAGAGAATTGTGTGTATGAAGCCTAGAACTATTTTAAAAGTTAAGAATATTCGTTTTAAACAGTTGTCTAGTTCTTAAGCCTAGAACTATTTTAAAGGTTCAGAATAACGGTGATCTTTTTTACAATGAAAATGGATACGCTCTCTAACTTTACTTTCATACTTTCGGACAATATATGTACAACAATCAAATAAACATTGTTTCAAACAATTATATGGACATGAAAAAAATAAACACTTCCATTGAAACGAAAGAAAAACAGAAAGAATGAAAATCCATATTCTCAAATTACTCAAATTAAAGAATAAAGACCAAATCTTCAAGGTAGGAGTGCCAATTACACAAAGATTGGTTTTTAGCCATGGTTTTACTCTCCCCAATGACTTAAGCTTGACCATTTAGCTTGTGGAAGAGGGAACAACATCATCACCCCATTCCAGTGTATTTCCCAAGAAATTCCCAAGACCAACTCAAAGAAATCCATGACTAAGACCAAGCCCAAGCAATAGTAGTCTAGGTAGGCAAATAAACCATCCTCATAGTTAAGCACATGACATATATACATTTGTGAGATAACATAAACATATCATGACATCCAAGAATTCCATCATCCAAAGGCTAATCCACAGCCCTTGGTATCCAATAAATCAGCCCAGGTAGAAGGTTCCATGGTCAGCACCAGTAGATCCCAAGCAGTAACAAAATCCAGTAGCAAAATCCAGTAGTAGGTGCAATTTCAACCTGTACGCAGCACCTGTACGCCAACTATGAGCATCAGCAGGTCCTCCAGACAGTAGCTCAGTGGTTGCAGCAGGAGCACAGCAGCGCCATCATGCAACAGGTCCTCTGGTTATTGCACAGCAACTCCAAGTTCCGTGCAGCAGCAGCTTCAAAGCAATTCCAAAGCAGCAAAACAAACCCGAAGCAGAAAGAGACCACCATCTCCTTTAAGTTGGAAGACCAAAATCAGGGACCAATGTATGAAAGGAACGGGTAGTGGTAGACCAAACCACAGCAAACAGAAGTCACCCAGTGCAAGGGACAAGTTGGTCTGCCAGCAACATATGTGTGCCATCCCATCCCTCAAGAAGACTGAGTTCAGTAAACAAACAGCACAATGGAGTATGCTATTCGAAAATGGCAGCACTAGAGATCATGATTTGCCAACAGCAGCTTTGGGTGGCTCTCCAACGAAGTAGTCTAGCCAAACCCAGTGATGCCACAGAAAACCATTCCACGTAGCTGGTTGTGTCCTATTTCTCTTAACAATACCATTACAGCTTCATGAACAAACACTACAAGAAATATGTCCTTTAATGAGAGTAAAAGTTGTAGTTAAAGAAAGAAAAACCTTCATTAAAAAGTTTTAATGAGAGGAAATTTACTCCTAGATTCATAAGTTATCAAAGAAGCCTACTTAGTTTTTTGTATAAATTTATGGGGGCGGGGGATTAGAGTTTAAGTAAAAATATCCCTGTGTCAGTAGTATATATACTTACTGGAACATCATTACCAATTAAAGACAAAGAAGCAGCATCAACCTATTCAGTTACACCGTCATCCAAAGTTATCACAGATTTGCTAGTGGTCAAAACAGCCTTCTCGGTTTCAGGAGACACCAAACAATCCTTAGTATTATCAGGAGGGACATCCACAGAAGTTATATCCTTGGTTGGAGTATAGGTTCAGAAGCTTCCTTGGACCGTACTGCAAAAGTTGCCTTGTTNAAAATATCCCTGTGTCAGTAGTATATATACTTACTGGAACATCATTACCAATTAAAGACAAAGAAGCAGCATCAACCTATTCAGTTACACCGTCATCCAAAGTTATCACAGATTTGCTAGTGGTCAAAACAGCCTTCTCGGTTTCAGGAGACACCAAACAATCCTTAGTATTATCAGGAGGGACATCCACAGAAGTTATATCCTTGGTTGGAGTATAGGTTCAGAAGCTTCCTTGGACCGTACTGCAAAAGTTGCCTTGTTGGAAGGTGAGCCATTTCATTGAACGTGTGCCCCCTCCTATATATGAAGGATTGAACAAAATACTCATTAGATGTATCATTTGACTAATTCTAATGAGAAGAATTTAAAAAATTTCCCCTCGCTGCTTCTTAGCCACAAATCATCATCAAAACTAAAACGAAAGCTTTCTCCCAAAAAGAGAAGAGAAACAACCAAAATAAATTGAAAAAGACATGAGGCTACAACGTAGGCCCAAAGTAAAACCCCAAATTAAAGTCCCTTCATGCAAATTACAACTTACAAGTGAGCACTGAAGCTTTAGTTCCCAAATTGAATTCAGTAATGAAACACTTTTCGAACACAATCAAAAAGGCAGTACAGTAGCATATGTGACAAACTTCGTCACACTCTGCAAAAGAATATGCAAAATCTTGATTCTGATTTATGAAGCTCATGTTCTTTTTTCACTTTGGTTTGCATACAAATTCTCAAATTCAAATAGCCACAAATAAGCACAAAAAATATATATAGTTAGAATTGTCTACTTTTGAATCAACAAATAAAGGTAAAGCGTATAGTATAAAGAAGAAAAAACTTAAACATACTATGCAAAGTAACAATCTAAAGTTACAGATTGTGAAGTAGAGAACCAATTCATTGTCCAAATTTTATTTGCTAGCTAGACATTGAAATAACTTTTTAAGAACAAAAACAATTTTCAATTCTGAAATCCTTTTGAAATAAAGTATAAAGCTTAAAGAATTAACTAAATATTTAGAATCAGAAACTCAAATCTAACTCTCATACTGCCACATGAAGACTCAAATATAACTCTCATACTACCTTCTGAAAAAAATCACCAGCCCAAGCAATAAAGGCTAGACCAGTAGCAAAACCGCACACCTCACAGGTACACTAGAACGTGAACAGTAACTCGAGCAACCAAATCAAAGAGACCAAAATCAAGTTGTTTGAATTAGGATTCCAACACCAGACGTTGAATGGCCCTTGAATCACGAACACAATACCAGAAAATGGGATGGAAAACGAGCAAAAAGCATGGGTAAACCTGGACTTGAAGAACTCGCTGTGAACAGTGACTCCGTGTCCAAAATTTTTGCTCAATTCGCAGCTTCCTTCAGCCGGTTTGGAAAACCAATTTCAGGTGTTGAAAGAGCATCCCAAGTCGCCCATAATCCCCCAAAAATTGGCCTTCAAACGAGCTTGGACCGAGGTGAATTGAACCTTCAAGAGTCTCAGATGAACAGTAACTCGAGAAGGTTGACCTGCGATTCTTGATCAATCCAGCGCCCAATGGATTGCCATGCCCAAAACGATTCTAGAGCTCTAAGAATTGGTCCAAAAGTTCAACAAATTCAAGGTGAAAGCAAGGGTTTAAGATCGGCAGTGAATAGTAACTTGTTGTCCCACATCCGTGATCCGTGGTATAGGAAAATTGAGGAGGGAAGAGCCTATAAATAGAGAGGGGTATAGGCTTCTAACACCCAACACAATCCTTTAATCTATATAATTGTGTATTCCTTTTTTTGTCTGTAGGTCTTGAGGTGCCGAACCACGTTAAATATTTTTGTGTGTTCCTTTTTTTTCTTTCCTTTCCATTTGTTTGCAGTAGGGAGCCTAACAAGTAGTATCACAGCCAAGGTGATCTGGTAATTATAATTCTTAGTATGCTCTGTGGTTGCAGCTTTGACTGATCTTCCACATCAGAAAAGAATTATTAATTACAGAGTTGCAGTCTAGGGATGAAGGAGATAGAGGAAGAAGCAAGAGGAGGGAGTGCCACTTCAGCGGAGGAGGAGGTGGTCCAGTCAGCAGAGGTGGGTCCGTGAGTGCCACGCTAGCATTTTGTGGGTCTGAGTGCCACGTCATCATCTAGTCAGCGCCACATCACCAAGTCCAGTCATCGTGTGGGTCCCGCTGTTGATTTCTGGAGAGAAGTTGGTTCTGACTAATTTTGACGTCTTGATTCCATTTTTTGAGACAAGTTTCCTCAAATTTGGATTGTTTGGTATTGGTTGATTGCTGCTTGAGTGGAACTATGACTACCTTGAAGTTTGAAGTTCCGTTATTTGATGGAAGAACGGACTTCATGTTGTGGCAATGCACGGTAGCATCCTTTGCAATGCTATATTCCAACCAAGGGAACTCATCAAACCAAGCTGGATGAAAGTTACAATTATAATTTGACATTACTGTAACAGGAAACTTATGAGCTTTAGGTTGGAAAGGGCCCTTTTTCTGATAATTACCTACGTGGTCTTCTATAATTGAGATTTATTCCCAAAATTATCCTTTGTAATAAGGTATTTTTCCCAAATCAGTCCTCAATAAGTTTTAATTACATATGTGGTCCTTTATAATTGAGATTTATTTCCAAGATGGTCCTTCGTAAATAATATTACTCAAATGAGGATTAACTGAGGATATTTTTTCTCTACTAAATTTAGAATCAATTCTTAAAATAATCATTTGAAATGAAGTGCTTTCCCAAAATAATTTTTCTAACTAAAGATGTGTATTTGATTTGAAATTTAAAAGATTTTTTTAAGTTTTATAAATGTATTTGGTTTATCTCTATGTAATAAAGTATTTTTTCAAATTAGTCTTCAAATGAGGATTAATTGGGAGATATTTTGGTATTTTGATCATCCAAATTTAAAGTATATTCTCGAAATAATCATTTCTGTAAAACATAAAAAATACATTGACTATAAATAATTTATGAATTATTTAAACTCAAAAAAATCTTTTAAATTTCAAATCGAATACACATCTTTAATTAGAAAAACCATTTTGGGAAAGCACTTCATTATAAGTGATTATTTTAAAAATTAATTCTAAATTTAGCGGGTAAAAAATACACTCAATTAATCCTCATTTGAGTAATATTATTTACGAAGGACCATCTTGGGAATAAATCTCAATTACAGAGGACCACGTAGATAATTACTCCCTCCGTCCCACTATATTTGTCCACTTTCACTTTTGCACACCATCTAATGCACTTTTTTAATCCATTTTATCTTGTAATTTGTATATTAAAAAATTATAGAAATTATATATTAATAATCTATATGTTAAGACAAATCAAACAAGATCACACATGACTATATTTAGACTTACACATTGAGAGAATTTGATGAGTCAAAGTACTTAGATAAACAGTTCCAAAAGTAAAAAATGGACGAATATAGCGGGACGGAGGTAGTAAAACTTATTAAGGACTGATTTGGAAAAATACCTTATTACAAAGGACTATTTTGGGAATAAATCTCAATTATAGAGGATCACGTAGGTAATTAAAACTTATTGAAGACTAATTTGGGAAAACCCCTTATTACAAAGGATTATTTTGAGAATTTACTCTTTAAATAATTAAAAACATTATAAACTTAAAGCATAAGTACATAACCTAATTACTCCCTCCGTCCCACTATATTTGTCCACTTTCATTTTTGCACACCATCCAATGCACTTCTTTAATCCATTTTATCTTGTAATTTATATATTAAAAAATTATAAAAATTATATATTAATAATCTATAATCACACATGACTATTTTTAGACTTACACATTGAGAGAATTTGATGAGTCAAAGTGCTTAGATGAACAGTTCCAAAAGTCAAAACTGGACAAAAAGAGTGGGACGGAGGTAGTATATTAACATATTCACAAATCACAAATCAAAATCTTACAAAATAAATAAACAAATTCAATTCTCTATTTTGCTATTTAGAGTAATAAATTTGTAAAAATTAATTAAAGTTATCACAATTTACAAATAAAGTAAAAATATCCAATTTAGATAATTAGATATAAGAGAAAAAACCTGGTTGTTCGAGTAATTGGGGCCTTGGGGGGTTCTTGTCGCCATCGTCGGTTCCAACTT